GTTTCATGCAGAAACATTCATTTTTTAATGCAATTGACATTAAGATGTTTGCACATGCATTTCTAATCTCTATATCAGATTATTACTAGTCACAGTCGGTTACTTTCTGAGCTCCTTGGCATCTGAGCATGGATATAAAACCATCAGATAGATTTCAATGATAATGTTTTTCACATCTACTAAGCTTTGAAGAATTATTATTTTTTAATCGTTATACTTTTTAAAAATTTTTAATAACTACATGATTAGAAGCTTTTCGCTACAGCTTTAACATACTCAGTAATATACTCCAGAGCAACAGTACATCTCTTTCACAAGCGGGTGCAAGTTTCTAGGTTCACAGTTGAATTAATATAGTTATATATTATTGAATGCAATATAAGCCCTGTAAGACATAAAATTGGATGAGTTTTTAACCTTTAAAAAAGATCTCCATTTCATTTTAGAATATATTGTTCCTTGCAGACAGACTCTAGTCATAATCGGTTGCACTTGGATCCTTGGTGCCTGTGTATGTCCATAAACTCATCAGGCAGATTTCAGTGGTATTGTTTATCACCTCTACTAATTAACATGATGTAAATTTCCATGCTTCCTCCTCAAATATAATAGATTTTTCTTAAATTTGTTGATTTTTTGTGTATGTATATCACACAGAACATCCCAAACCACCTCATTCGACCATATACCCACTTCCCAGATAATGCCCTCCCATAGCCTCCCTCCCCCGACTAGAGCCCTTACACTCTGATATCCTTGCTGTGTTGTCAGCACCCCCAGCCATTCCCCACTACCTGCCCTTATGGTGAATCTAGGGTCAGCTCTTCCTCATCTAGCAGTAATCAGTTGTCAATATTCCTTTAGACAAGACTGGGGTCCGCTGCTCACCTTCCCAACTCTATGCTGGGTTACTATCTGGGAGTCCCTTTGACCACCATGGCCAACAACTCAAAATAAGGTATCACCTATCTGGCATTGTTGCTTGTTATATAGCCTTTAGCTATGCATATGGACTCTTAAGAAATTATATTGGCCCCTTTAATCTTTGGTTATACTTTCCTTTTGGGCGTTTAAGACCCTATAATTGTCCCAGATAAACCAATTTATTTTTACTCTTAAGGTCTATTTGAGGATCTGTTCCTCAGGGCTCACATGGGCTTGGGAGGAGCCCCTGGCTCCTTTCTTTTATCAGATCTGTCTGTGTGAAAATAAGTCAAAAGTCCTCTCGACTGTGGCTGGCTTCCCTTGGAAGCATGGAAGAAATGACTCCTCTACGTTGACCCTCCTCTTGGTAGACTGGACACTGGTTAAAGTCCAGTCAGTGGGGTCTCCATACCCTCCCTGAACAAGAGGACAGGTGGCTCACCACAGTTACAGGACATTTTGAGAGATGCTCATGGTCCCCTGGAACTAAGTCAACTTGGAGCAGAAAGAGCAAAAACTGTCCTTGAAGTCCCTCTGACCAAATTAGGATAGGACTCAAAGTATGGCTGTTAAACATACAAGTAGGTTAGTTTCACCAGTGTGGTACTCTTAATTACCATGTGCTATATAGATAAAGCTTGGGCAAAGACCGAACGATCTCAGATAAACCTTGGCTAGATATATATTATATTCCTTGAGCTAGTTTTTCATGTAATTTGTCAGTAGTTCATTCAATTAATATGGTTCCCTCTGTTATTTTTATCTCTCACAATGTCTAATTCTTCCATCATGGTTTCCACATT